TATATATATATATATATATATATATATATAAGAAACGATCTGATGCAACCGTTGCATCATACTATGATGAAACGGTGAGTTGGCAAATTTGTAGCCATTAGATTCTTGAGCAATCCAACGGTTGAGATTACACTCACTTTATAATGGATTTGAAAACCCCAAAACTTTGTTCTACTCCCGCTCTTCTCTCCTCACTGCTACCTCTCTCTTCATCTCCCACCTCTTTCTCTACCAGCACGCACTCTCCCCTTTCACCATTTCACTCTCCTCCTCCTCGTCTCCTCCTATCCCTCTCTCTTCTTATTTCCTCGTCACTCCCCTGATCTTCTTCCCTCTCCAAGCTTTATCTTGCTTCATTTTCTTCCTCCATCTCTTTCATTGCTCCCAAAGAGCAAACTCAGAAGCTCCAAACAGCCAAATCAATATGGCTCAAGAAACCCAAACAAACTCTGATGGTGGGAATTTGCTGTGATTTTGGTGTAGAAGGTGAGCCAAATCAGGGCTTTTGGTGTAGAATGTCCGATTTTCTGCACTTTTCAAATCGTATCATTATAGTTGTTTCTCTATTATTTACCCAATTTCTTTTGGGTTTCTCTCTCTAAATCCTTCTATTTTATCACTCTAATGGTTTCTCAATTCCATATCTCTGTAAACTCTTTTATTCCAACAGTTGAATGGTTGCCCAAATCCTTGTCTCTCTGTTATCTTTTCATTGCAATGGCTACTGAGTTAGTGGAAGCTTACATTTCTTTTATCACTATAATGGTTGTCCAAATTATTTTCTCTCTAAAATTATTTTTTCTCTCTAAAATTATTTTCTTTTACATTTTTTTTCTCTATTTGGTGTGATTTTGGTGTAGAAGGTGCATTTGGCTCCAAATAGTCAAATTTGGCTTTTGGTGTAGAAGGTGTGATTTTGCTGGGCTCCAAATCAGGACTGATTTTCAAAAACTTCTAGAGTTATTTGTATTGAATTTAAGCAAAAAAACTACTTGTACTAGAATCTCACGATTTTCAGAAGGATTTTTCAAAATAAGGATAGCTTATTTTGTGTCCACTC